ATCATTCTCAAAACATTTCTTTCTGTTTGACTCCTTGGTAACAGCTTCTCATTTTTTCCCCTCCTTCCCCTACCATTCCTCCCTCATGAACCCTTGATAATTTATAAATTATTATTATTTTTTCATGTCTTACATGGACTGATATCTCCCTTCACCCACTTTTCTGTTGTCCGTCCTCTGGGAGGGGTTATAGGTAGACTACTCAGTCTTTTTTTTTTTTTTTAGACTACTCAGTCTTATAAAATTGCTATGAATCAGAATCAATTTGATAGCAGTGAGTCTGATTTTTTGGTTTGGTCTACTTTACCAAGCATGATGTCCTTTTCCAGAACCTAGTCTCTCCTGTCAACATGTTCAAAGAACATGAGACAAAGTTTTCCCATCTTTGCTTCTAAGGAGCATTCTGGCCCTATTTCTTTCAAGACAGATTTGTTTGTTCTTCTAGCATTCCACAGTACTTTTAATATTCTTTGCAAACACCATAATTCAAACACCATTAATTCTTCTTGGGTCTTCCTTATTTCTCATCCAACTTCTACATGGATATGAGGCAATTGAAAATGCCACAGCTAGGGTCAGACCCACTTGAGTCCTCAAAGTGACATCTTTGCTGTTCAACACTTTAAAGAGCTCTTATGTAGCACATTTGAGAACTACAACAAACTAATAGACTAAAAGTGGTTTCCCGATATATAGTTTCTCATTTTACATTTTCAGAGAAGTCTTTAAGTATTAAATTTTTGTAAGATCTTAGCTGTTTGGTTGATCTTTTTGTTTGTTTAGTTGATCTTTTGTTGTGCTGTTTTTAATCATTTTATTGGGGGAGCTCTTACAAATCTTAGACAATCCATCATTCAGTTTTATTAAGCACACTTGTATGTATGTTGCCAGAAACATTTCCAAAACATTTTCTTTCTACTTGAGTCTTGGTATCAGCTCCTCTTTTTTCCCCTCCTTCCCCAACCCTCTCCTCCTTGTGAATCCTTGATCAATTATATATTATCGTTATTTTGGTTTTTTTCTTTTGAGATTGACATATTTCAACAGCATACTGTCTTCCAGATTCATCCATGTTATAGTATATTTTAAGAATTTGCCATTATTCTCTTTTCGTTTGTTTTTAAAGCCATTTTATTGAGAGCTCTTACAAAGCTTATTACAATCCATACATCAATTGTATCAGGCATATTTGTACATATGTTGCCATCTTTCTTTTCTAGACAGTTAACTTTATATTGAGCCTTTGATATCAGCTCCTCTTCTCCCCACCACCCTCGTCACCCCTTGATAGATTATAAATTATTATTTCTGTGTCTCACACCAACATGGTTTCTGTTGTTCTTTCCCCTGGAGGGGTGTGTGTGGTTGTGTGTCAATTAGTTTCTTCTTCTTCTTCCACCACTCCCCCCTTCACCCTTCCCATCTGGTATCTCTCTTCCTAATCCTGCTCCTGGTGTGCATGTGCCCTGAGCTCTTATCTCTCATCTACAGCTATGTACATGCTCCAGTCTAGTCCAAAGTGAGAGGCATCACTGGGGTCATGGTGGTGGGGTGTGAGGAGAATTTGCCATTATTCTTTATGGCTGCATAGTTTTCCATATATACCAGTTTGTTAGTCACTCATCTAGTGATGGACATTTAGGTTGTTTCTATCTTTTGCTATTGTGAATGGTGCTGCAATGAACATGCTGTTGTAGGTTAAGTCATTCTTATTCATTGTGACCCTATGCACAACAGAATGAAACATTGTAATATTCAGTCTTTAAGACAGCAGAGGCATATGCCAGCCACTTGCCAGATAATACTTTAATAAATTATGGTGTACAATATCTTTTTTT